AAAGACAAGCTATGGAGATGATTAAACCTTTGCAACAAGAACTTACGCTCCTTGAATTGACTCCTAGCTTTTACCATAATTTCCATTCGGCTTCTTGAATGCCTTTCAATTTGAGCTTCCACCCATATCAAATGCTTCACCTGAGTGCTAAGTCGATATGTCATCAGGTCAAATGCTCCATCAGGAGGCACAAATGATATTGTTCTGGTGGAACTTAATGTCATCCAAGTCAATGAAAATGAAAAAGTATCTATATATATATAATATATGTGATATAAGATTTAAAAGAAAATGAAAAATTACTGGTGGAACTTAATGTCATCCAAGTCAATGGCTTTTCCCTTTGTAGTTCGTCCTTGTGCCTCCAATATTACTCTATCATTCAGTCCAAGCTTACACTCAGGCATACCAATGTAACAAGAATGAAATAAAGAACCCTAATTTGAAACTCACCTGGAAAATTAAACAAAAAAACAATAAATGAAAAACTGAAATCAAGAACCCTAATTTGAATAAAGAAGATGGAGATGGTCGATGAAGTGATTAGTAGTGTTCACAAGGGATATATGGAACCTATAATTGGAGCAATACCAGAAGAAAAAAAACTCTTTCAATCTCTTCTTTTTCGCTCCTGTAGCCGAGATCGACATGGTGCATGGGCTTCTTAGGCTTGCTTTTTCGTCAAGATAGGAGGGCCGGTGAGGCTTGATCGGAGGCAGCAGCCTCTGGTGTCTTCTTTGGTTTTTCCAGCGAACAATAAAGATGACGAGAGAGAGAGAGAGAGTGAGTGAGCTTCTCCAAAACGTCTATTGAAAGTCGATAAAAGGGNTGCTTCAGTCTCGTCGACCCCGGAAACGCTTCCTTAGCCTGCAATCGATCGACATCCATTGGACCTTGCAGCCACTTCGTGCTTTCCTTCTCACCTTCATCGATGTATTTGGGGAAGTTGTTTATANGGAAGTGACGGCTGGAGATGGTTTGATTAGGGTTACGGTGGTTTTAAAAAGCCTAGTAGCTGAAGTCAATGTTTACCATAATTATAAGATATTATTTGTGGAAACTAATTATAAAATCACCTATTTACCCTTATTTATTTATTTAATTATTTATTTATATTTTAAATTTTGATTGGCCCACATTTATGCATACAATAATACAATACTTACTTAAAACACCTGAACCTATCTCTCTCTCTCTCTCTATATATATATATATATATATATATATATATATATATATATATATATATTCAATTGGAATTTTTTACTTTATTAAAAGACATTGTGATACTACAAGAGTATTCTAAAAAGGCTTTTAAATCAGAGTAGATAGTAATTGCGGGACAAATTCAAAGTTCCTATTATATTTGCTGTACGTGTTTTAGATAGAAATCATATACAACTTAATTTTAAGGGTTATTGTCACTGTAATTCAACAAACTTATCGGTTTTTGTTCAAATGGTCCTTCGTGATAATTTTTTGCATTATAAGGGAACAAATTCAGGTTTTAAGGTTTTAAAATGACATTATGAAAAATGTGAAGGGGTCACCCTGTGAACCTTTTCCTACTCGGCAGGTACCACTTGACAAGTCGCTAAAATAAAATCACCTCACTTGCCACCTTTCTAAATATTTGACACGTCACACGTCACCAACGACTTGTTTGACTCAAAGACCTAAACAATGTTTCCTTTCGAAGCTGAAGAACATATGCATTGTCACTTTTGTGTTGGGTTTGTGAATCAAACTTCATCTCCAAAACCCATCTCATATGTTGGTTCTTTATTGGTGCTTGACTTCTCATATGTTGGTTCGAATTTGAGTTATTGAGGTCGTGAATCAAACTTCATCTCCAAAACCCATCTCATCTATTGGTTCTTCACCGGTTCTTGACTTCTCATTTGTTGGTTCGAATTTGAGTTATTGAAGTCAAATTTGAATCTGTAAGCATAAAGAAATCAACATATTGAACTGATAATCGATAAAAAATCGAAGCTTTAAGACCAAAAAGATCTACATATGATCAAAGAATTCTTCCATGTCAAGAAATTTAAGGAAACCAAGATCAAGAAATTTAAGGAAACCAATATCAAATTTGATTCTTGAAGCTTTGAGAAACCGGTGCTTGACTTATCATCTGTTGGTTCCAAGATTGGGAAAAAATGGCACCCTCGGGCCGTCGGAACCCTAGGCCTGACGTAACACCCGTTTTCCTGGTCGAATCGAATTGGGGTTTCAAGGGTCAAAAGGTTGGATTTTTTTTTTGGAGAAAAAGGAGCCTCATGACGTGAGGAATAATAGGCTCACGATGTGAGATGGGTTAAGTTGAATTTTTATGTGGGACTGGAATATACCCAGTATCGGTTGAAAGAGACCGAAGGGGTTGAAATAGACCCAATTCCGGTTGAAAGAGACCGAAGGGGTTGAAATATACCTAGTATCGGTTGAAAGAGACCGAAGGGATTGAAATAGACCCAATATCGGTTGAAAGAGACCAAAACGGTTGAAATATACTCAGATATGTTTGATTGTATGTATGTATGGTATGTCGTATTTTGAGGAACTCACTAAGCTTTGTGATTATAGTTTATGTTTATGGTTTCAGGTACTTCCGATTCTAAAGGGAAAGGCCCGGCGTGGTCGCAACACATCCACCCATGTTTCCGCAACTTTATGATTTTGAGATTGTACTCTGATAACTATTTTTACTTTGATATACTCTTGAATAATTAAAAAGGATAAATGGTGTTCATGGTTGAACTAAAAATAAAATTTTTATCTTATAATTTTTGGGACGTAGTAGTCGTACTATTTTCAAGTTCGAGTTCTGATCGGAGGGTGTAATTGTTTTTTATTGTTCTTGAAAGCTCCAGGTTATCCCACGAAGTTCGAGTTCTTGACTTCTTCAGGTTCTGATTGGAACCCTACAATATGTTTCTGAGATCTGGGGAGGAACACATGTCGGAACTTCAAGAAATTGAGCCTTCAAGAAATCAAACCTTCAAAACGTTAACCCCAAAACTCGATTTTTGTTGTTACCCTTAGCATAATTGAATCAAAACACCAGGTTAATTGTCGGACTATGCATTAAACACCTGCTCTTCTTTTGTTGGAATTGTAGTGTTTCTCGGAATCAGTAAAATCTGGAAGAAACCTTTAAATCAGATGAATCAGTAATAAAAAGAAAATCAATAATCGAATTTCGAAATTGAAACCCAAATCGAAATCGAAACATCATATTTAAAAAGAGTGATATTCGCAAAGAAGGAGGAAGGAGCAGATTAACGGGTGATGATGCAGGGCAACTTGTCATCTTGCACTTTGGCATCTTTCGTCTTACCGATTCCAACTATTTTCGTTCAAAGACCCATCATCCTCAAATGGAGAATTTAACATTTAATTAATTAAAAAAATAAGTAAAAAATTCCAAGTCAGCCCCAAATAGACATGACTTGGCAATGAAAACGGGTTAAAACAAGTCTAGGTCCCAAATAAACAGGTTAAAATGGACTTCATGTCTCTATGTAAAAAAAAAGGTATCACGAAGGGTCATTTAAACCAAAACCGATAAGTCCGTTGGGCTAGAGTGAAAATAACCCTAATTTTAATTAGAAATAAGATAAGTTTATAAAGATCTAAATATGTAGTTATATTTTAATTAAATCTATTAAGCTGAAGGGAGTGGTGTAGAGGAAACCGAGTTCCACCTCAGTTCCAACTAGGAAAGTGGAAGACGGGATAAAGAGAGTGAGAAGAAGAGGAGTGGTCTACCGAGATATGAAGAAGAAACTGAGGAAGAATAGGTCAAAAAAGGAAGAGCTCGGCAGCTGGTCATCGAGTTGGGGCACCAAACTCGGCATGTCAGTTCGTTACCCGGTGTTCACCGAGCCCACATCGGCTTTTACTGAGTGCCACCAGATCCACTCGACCAAGCCTTAGTGTAAAACGAATTACCAGATCCACTCGGCGAATCCTTGGTGTAAAACGAATTTTTAAATACTTTTAAGAGATAACGATAACTAATAAAAAGAAAACATAAATATTTACTTTTAGGCTATTAAAAATTTGATATATTTATATAAGACTAGGTTAAAGAAATGGTATATGCAGTTTACTAAAATTTGCATTTAAAGTCCAAATTTCAAAAGCAAGAGACAAACGATCTTTGAGTTTTCAATTTCTTGTAATATTAGTACAATCAAATGACTATTTTACCCGAACTTCCAAAATATGTAATTACATATAATATGTTTAGGTTTATTATTGCTTGTAGCATTTCTAAAAAACTATTATGCATCAGCGTCCCACCATTTCTCCTATATTTTCTCTTATGGTCGATATTGTTGTGTCCCCATCCTCTTCACTCGTCATGTCATAATCTCAGAGGGTTTTCTCTCACAATTAGTTTTTTTACTTTCTTTAATTTTCTCTCCTTTTCTTTTGCACTACATTGTTAAGTTTGTGAAACCAACAAATAATAGAGATATAAAAAATATTGATAATTATATCAATGGATAGTATAGCTAAAGCATGAATCAAATCTCAATGAACATATAACTATTGTTATATACATCTTTGCACAAGGTATATCGATTTGACACAAAAATAAACGACAATTAAAATAAAAAAGAGGATTTTTTATTAACTAAAATTAACATGCAATAACATAAACTAAAGCTACGATTTCGAAGAGAAATAGATTTGAGAAAGTTTTGGTTCTACGTTCATTTCAACTATATCCAAATGAATATGAATTGATGTTTAGATGACCTAACGTTACTAATCTTAATGCAAATAAGTTCTTACATTTTGATTGAAAAGTTGCATTAAGTTTTTTACAAATATTTCCAACAATACTCAATACTTTTCATAAGCTCGGAAATGTCAAAATATGTGATTTTATGTTTACAATGAAATAAATCCTAAGTTAAGAACCAATAGTTTTTTGTTAATTGTGTTAACTCATAAAACAATTACAGATTTCATAAATAAACTAATGTTACTCAAATTAAACTAGTTCGTGAGATCATTCATGATAAAAATTAAATATTTTATTAAAGCCGAAACATAAATCACTGTGTTAAAATCAAATCTAAAACATCAATCCAATAATATCAATTACATATAGTCGAATTGTTGAACTAAAACCGGAAAAGAGAGGTTTTTAGCGGTTCATGGCTAAAAACATGAATCCAAACAAGTTAATTAATAAGTGTTTCTACGA